TATATATATATATATATATATATATATATATATATATATATATATATTTATGGGTGTGTATATAATATAAATATACATATATATATACATCTTCATAAATGCAATTCTAATTCTTTTAACGTTCCCTCGCAAATGGAATACTGTCCCGATCTATTTGGATCGTTTAAAGTGAGCTTTAGGGGTTAAATGTGAAGCAGACGTATATTATTGAAGACGAGCCATGAACAATCGCATCGTCTTACTTTGTTTTATCCTATATAAACGTTCCTGATAAACGTCATAATAAATGTTATCATCTTCTCCATGATTGGTATTCGGAAGTGGTGAGTTCCGAAATTAGTAATGTCACAATTTTACAGACAAAAACTTTACTTGAGTACTATTTGTCATTATTGTCGCTCAAGAACGTTGCAAATTTCTCTCAATTTTTGCATTAATGTGACAATGTTATAAAGGTACAAGTGCTGTTTGAAATAATGCTATTGATCACGCATTTTTATCAGAAATCATATTATTTATAAAGTAATGAGGAGAAAACATAAATGCGTTTCGGTACACGAATATACACAACTGGGAATATAAATTAAATCATCTTCGGTTTATTGTGAATAAATGAATGTATCGCCTTTCACATACAGATATATTTATTGTGATACAAATTATATTGATTAATTACTGGTATAAGAACTTGTTACAACACAAGTCCTATTTTTATTGTTGAATGTACGTGTTTTATTAAATTTTAGTGTGTGACTCACAATACAATCGTGGTTGAATGGATCAGTTCCATTCGATAACCAGAATTACATAAACTCAAATACAGTATTGGTACTCACAGGCGATATACTAGAAATGCTGCAATTCTTGTATTTTTATAAATCATATTTTAGTATAAACCATGGTAAAATTGGTTTTTTTTTTGTTTATCTTTAGCGCTGTGACTTTTTAATCTGGAAGTAAAATAATATTTATTTGGTTTACAGGAAATAATATTTGATATTTTCAAATATACTAGAGGAAATATGAAAACAGAGTAAATATAATGTGGCAATAAATCTTCTTTTTTTTTTGATACGTGTAAATTATACGAGTTATTTTGCGTGTATTTTTGAAAAGATCTTACGAGGAATATCGGCAATGCAGATGGATCTAAGAGAAAGTCCGAAACTTTGTAAATATGTAGGACAGATAGATTTAATAACGAAGATAGATTTAATAACGTTTGGACGTCAATAAATAATATTCGTTATTGACCCATCTGTTCTATATTTCTGCAATTTCAGATTTCTTTTTTAATTTTCACTTATTGCTGAATATTCCAATTACTAATATAATTACGATAAATACAATCTAAAGTAATTTTTTTTTTATTTTTTTATGTTAACTATAATTTTGCTAATAATATTGTTGCCATGGTTTAAGCTCCTGGTTTGACTGCGGTTAAATTAGGATATAAGCTACGTATTTCTAAAGTTATGTAAAAAGTTTTTTCAAGATTTATGAAAACGATATGTTTAATTTATGGAGCAATCTTTAATGAGATTGCTTGCGGGCGCACACTGAGCAGGAATTTGTTTGACTGATATAAACGCGCACGTTTTTCTACTGTGGCAAGAGGTTTTATAATACAGAACTCGATAGGAAGTAGAATCAGCGTAAGCCTCTTACATCTAGGCAAGATGCAAAATGATATCGCTGAGAAACTTCGGATCTGTACAATTGGAATTGTAATATTTACAAAACCGTGCTGCAAATTACATATCTTCTGCGAGTATTCGCTCTTATGATTTGCTATTCATTCGCCTCTTCCGCGGAAGTTAACTTAAGCTACTTCCGAATAAGGCGAAACAATGTCCCTAAGAGAACAAAAAATTCACGATGAGGAAATCTGTGCACACTTTAATAATTTTTAACACTAGCTAGCGCAAATTTCCGCATTTGCCAGATTTACAGTATCGACACGATATGATGAAATATTGAAAAAGAACTGAGTATTATTGTCGTAGGAGATTAACTGTTAGAAGAGAAACGAGAAAAAAAAACTAAATTCCGTCGGCAGCTAACACAAAATTATCGAGTCTACGGATTGTATAGTTTTTTATATGTATATGAAATATAGCCAGTTATCATTTAACGCGCCTGTATTAAACGGAGATCTGACTCTGACTCGGAACAGCGAAAGTGTATCGAAGTAATTAGTAAATGACTGCCGTTCACGATTAGCAGATTTACCAATTACTCTCGGGATCTTTCACTCGAAGTCTCCGTGTAATTCATGCTTTAAGCTTGTTTTACTGTAATCGTTTTTAACACATATTACATGTGAGTAACATACACAGGATCCTATAACTACATAATGCTCATATTAGTATTACAACGAATAGGAATACCATCTTCACATATCTTCTTTCTATATTTTCTCATATGGGGAGGAAGGTCACGCTGAAAAGGAAAAGAAAAAAAAGAGCTCTTAACGTTGCTTTTATTACGGGAGTCAAAAAAAAATGCAGGGGATTAAGCGATTTACGAGACTCACACACGAATAAATAACGTTGTCAACGGCTAAGACAATGGAGGAAATCGTTTTTCTAGTACAAACAAATGAGCTGTAATTTAAGTAACTAAAGATAACGTCTATCTCTCACAGAATTAAATTATAAGTGATATAATTTTAAAGACGATTGCTACACGTCCACCGGGACACAGAGCACGCCACTTGATATATATTAGTGTCTGTACATGCTTTAACATATATTACTATGCACACGTTTGCAATTCGTGTATAGTGATATCTGTTGAGTAAATGGGGACATTAACATATACACTGGTATATATATATATAGTAATATCTTGATTTATATTATTATATATAGTAATATATACATATATAAATATATATATATATATATATATATATATATATATATATATATATA